ATCAAATGAATATTTTCTACTAATCATAAAAATATTGGTACTATATATTTTATATTTAGATTATTTTCAGGATTGATAGGGACTTCTTTTAGAATAATTATTCGAATAGAATTAATACAACCAGGTTCAATTATTCAAAATGATTTTATTTATAATTCATTTATTACTATTCATGCTATAATTATAATTTTTTTTATAGTTATACCTGCTATAATTGGAGGATTTGGAAATTGATTAATTCCTTTAATAATTAATTCTATAGATTTATGTTTTCCTCGTTTAAATAATATAAGATTTTGAATATTAATTCCTTCTTTAATTTTAATATTAAATTCTTCTTTAAAAGGAGTTTTAAATGGGGTAGGTTGAACTATATATCCTCCTTTAACTTCTATTCAATATTTTATATCATCATCTATTGATATAATAATTTTTTCTCTTCATATTGCTGGTTTATCTTCTATTGCTAGTTCAATTAATTTTATTTCTACAATTTTATTAATAAAAAATAAAAATTTTTTTTTTAGTATAATAACTTTATTTTCTATATCAATTTTGATTACTACTTTTTTATTACTAATTGCATTACCTGTTCTAGCAGGAGGAATTACTATAATTTTAATAGATCGAAATTTTAATACTTCTTTTTTTGATCCTAGAGGAGGAGGAGACCCAATCTTATATCAACATTTATTTTGATTTTTTGGTCACCCCGAAGTTTATATTTTAATTCTTCCTGGGTTTGGAATAATTTCTCATGTTATTAGATATAATTTAGGAAAAAAAGAAGTGTTTGGTAAGATAGGAATAATATTCGCTATAATATCAATTGGTCTTTTAGGATTTGTAGTGTGAGCTCATCATATATTTACAGTAGGAATAGATGTAGATACTCGAGCTTATTTTACAGCAGCTACTATAATTATTGCTATCCCAACTGGTATTAAAATTTTTAGTTGATTTACAACTATAATTAATTCTCATATTAATTTTAATATTTCAATTTACTGATCTATAGGATTTTTAATTATGTTTTCAATTGGAGGTTTTACTGGAATTATTGCTTCAAATTCTTGTTTAGATATTGCTTTACATGATACATATTACATTGTTGCTCATTTCCATTATGTATTATCTATAGGAGCTGTATTTGCAATTTTTAGAGGATTATTTATATGATTCCCTTTAATATATAATTTCTATATAAATATAAATTTTTTAAAAATTCATTTTTGATCTAGTATAATTGGTATTAATTTAACTTTTTTTCCTCAACATTTTTTAGGATTAATAGGTATACCTCGACGATATTCAGACTATTTAGATAGAATATATATATGAAATTTTTTATCTTCCTTAGGTTCTATAATTACTTTTATTTCTACTGTATTTTTTTTATATATTATATTAGAAATATTCTTAATAAATAAGATAATTTTAATATTTGAAAGAAATTCTAATAATATAGAATTTTTTTTTTTTTCTCCATTAGAATCTCATACTATAATAAATTTTAATTTAATTATATTTAAATAAAATTTATTTTAAAAATAAACTTATAATTTATTTTAAAAATTTTAATTTTTATTTTGATAACTATGCTTATTTTGATATTAATTTTATATTTATTATATTACTTTTTTTTAAACACTTCAAAATCTTTAAATTTAAACTTTTCTTCTATATATGAATGTGGTTATATAAATTTAAATTATTCTCGTTTTTATTTTTCTATCTATAATTATATATATTTAATCTTATTTTTAATTTTAGATTTAGAAATCTTTTTTATTTCTTTAATAATTTACTTTAATTTTAATTTTTTGATAATAATAATAGTATTTATTTTTTTTTTAATTTTTATAATATTATATGAATGAATTAATTTAAGTTTAGATTGATTTAAAAATTAATTTAAAAGAAGCTTTATAAGTATTTTGTTGTTAACAAAAAGAAGAAAATTTTTCCTTTTAAATTAAGATAATATAAATTTATAATAAAATAAATTGACAATTTATTAATTTATCTTTTTTTTTCATAAGTATATATTTTATATTAAGTTTAGAACTTAAAGAAATAAATGAAAAATTCTGTATTTTAAGATTTAAAGAAAATGAAAATTTCTTTTAACAGAATAATAATTATATTTTCCATATTTATAATAATAATAATTTATTAATTTAATTAATTTAATTAATTTATTATACCTTTTGTATAAGGATAATTAAATATCTAAAATTAAAATATTTTTTCTCGATATATAAATAAATAAAAATATTTAATTATATTGTTAAATAAAAAATTTTTATTAATGTTATATTTAGGTATATATACTAACTAGTTATAAATTTAATAAATTTAAGTAAATCTTGAATTATATACTTTTTATTTAATTTAAATTATATTAAAATTTTATAATAATTATATTTTTTTATAAAAATTGTAATTTAATACTAAAGTTAAAATTTATAAAAAATTTATTTATTTTTAAAATTAATTAATTAGTAGAAAAAAAAAATATGTTTTTTTTTAATAAACTTTTATTTATAATTTATTTTAATTTTAAAGTTTATTTATAAAATTTTATCAAAATATAAATTTATAATAATTATAAATTAATTCTGCTCAATGATTGTATTAAATAGCCGAATTTTTTCGCTAAGGTAGCATAATCACTTGTTTATTAATTGTAAACTTGAATGAAAGAACTAATATAAAAAAACTTTATAAAATAAATTAATTTGAATTTTTAATATTAGTGAAAATACTAATAAAATTTATTAGACGGAAAGACCCTTAAATCTTTTCTTTAAAAAAGTTTTTTGGGATAAAAAAAAATAAAAATTTTTTTTTTTTTCTTGATTAGAACTTTAAAAAAGAATAAATATATAGATACTTTAGGGATAACAGGATAAATTTTTATTAAAGAACTAATTTATAAAAATTTTATTACCTCGATGTTGGTTTTAATAACTAAAAATTGAAAAAAATTTTTTAGTTAGTCTGTTCGACTATTAAATTTTAACTTGAACTGAGTTCAAATCGGTGAAAGCCAGATTGGTTCTAATCTATAAATTAAATTAATTTTTTTAGTACGAAAGGAAAATAAAATTTGTATTATACAAAAAAATTTTGACTTGAATGTAATTTAATTTCGAATTAAATTTTTATTAAAGTCTGATTTAAATTTTATTCTTTAAAAAATTTTGTTTCAAAATTTGATTTTAAACGAGAATTTAAAATAATTAAATTAATTCCTATAATTCTTCTTAGGATAGTTAAAAAAACTATATTAATTAAAAAAAAATTGTAAAAGTTAAAAAACATTATAATGGTTAATATAATTATTAAAATATCTAATATAATTAACAAGATAAAATTATTATTGAAATTCATTAATAAAATAAAAGAACTAATAAATATAAATAAATAAAATATTCAGATATATGTGAATTATATCCAAAATAATTATTTAATAATCTGTACTCTAATTTAAATTTACAGCTTCAATGTAATAATAAAGAGTTTAATTATTAAAATAATAAAATAAAGAAAATACTACAATTCAGATATAATCAACAAAATGCCAATATCAAATTCTAAACTCAAATCTTAAATAATTGTAAATGTTTATATTATTATTTAGTAATAAAATAAAAGAATGAAATAAAGCCATTAAACCTAAAATTACATGACTTGCATGAAGAGATGTTGTTAAAATAAAAGAACTTCTAAAAATTCTATCATTGAAATTAAAATTTAATTTTATATAAAAATTTCTCATTTCTAAAATTTGTATATCAATAAATATTAAACCTATAATTAAACAAAATAAAAAATTTAATAATGTTTTAAATTTATAATTTTTTTCAATTATGTAATTATGTCTAATTATAATAATAAAACTTGATCTTAATAAAATAGATGTCCCAAAAATAATTATACTTGTAGGATTTGAAGGAATAATTCCTTTAGGAGGTCAAAAATTACCTATAAAAATATTAGGAGAAAAAGCGTTATGAATATAACTTCAAAATAAAGAGATAAATACTATTATTTCCGAAATAATAAATATGATAAATCCGTTAGAAATAATTTTTTTTTTTTTTCATGTAAAAAAACCTATTAAATTATTTTCATTACTTATTATTGAAAAATTTTTGTAAAACAAAAAGAAAAAAAAAGAAAAAATTAAAATCAATACTATTAAATAGTTTTGAATTTTTCAAAAAAAATTGTTTAAACAATTTAAAAAAAAAAATAATATAATAGTATATATAATAGGGGAGGGGCTTAAATTAATAAAAAAATAATTTATATTTAACATATATTAAATTTCTTCAATATATAAATTTAATAAAGTTGTAATAATATAAGATTGAATAAATCTAACTAAAAATTTTATTAATATATATATGTATAGAACTAAATAAAAATATAAATTATTATTTAAAATAGTTGAATTAATTAAATGAACTAATACATGTCCTGCAATTATATTAATAGTTAAACGTAGTACCAGAGTTAAAGGTCGAATTATAAATCTTAATAATTCAGTTAAAATTATTATAGGAATTAATATAGTAGATGTACCTACAGGTAATAAATGACTTAAAAAATTATTTTTTTTTTTTGTTATAGATATTATAAGAATAGGAAACCATAAAATTAAAATTAAATTTATGTTTAATCTAATTTGTCTTGTTAAATTAAATATAAATATATTTAATCTTAATAAATTAATTAAAAAGATGAATATGAATAGTGTATAAAAAAAAAAGTTTTTAATCACATTTAAAAAAATTAATTTATAAACTTTTTTTAAATAAAATAATATTATATTTACTTTTTTATAAAAAGAAAAAAAGATTAAAAAATAAAAATTTAATAAATAAATGAAAAAAAAAAAAAAATTTTTTCTATCAAATGAACTAAATAAGTTATTTAACATAAATTTTAATATGATATTTGCTTAACTCGACAATTTTTATAGATTTTAAATTTGAAAATAAATACATTAAACTTAAAATTAAATAAAATAAAAATATTATTCAATTCATAGGAGAAACTTGATAAATTCGTTAAAAGAAAATTTTTCTATAGGTAACTTAAGAGGTTACAGCTTTAATCAGCCATTTAACGTTTAATTTTTTAATCTAAAAACACTGATTGGTATAAATCTATGATTAATTCCACAAATTTCAGAACATTGTCCTTTTATTAAAATTGATTTTTTACAATTAATGAAACTTATATTTAAACGACCTGGAATAGCATCTATTTTTCTTATTAATCTAGGGATTGTTCATGAATGTAAAACATCATTTGATGAAATAATTAGACGAATATTTTTATTTCTAGGAATGATTAATGAATTATTGGTACTTAATAAACGAATAAAATTTCTTTTTTTAATATATCTTTCTATTGAAAAGTTTCTAGGATATTGATAAGTTCAATATCATTGATTTCCAAAAATTTTTAAATCTATAAATCTAAATTTATTTTCTTCATAACAATAAAGTAAATATATAGAAGGGAAAGAAATAATTAAAATAATTAGGGAAGGAATGATTGTTCAAAATAATTCTAACTCATTTCTTTCATTTATAAAATTTATAGAATTTTTATTTTTAATAAAATAAACAATAAAAATTATTAAAAAAATTCTTATAATAATAATTAGATTAGTAATAGAAGAATTAAATATATCTATATTTTTTATTATTATATTATTAAAATTTTGTATTCACAAAGAATTTATATTTGTCATAAATTATTTGATTGTTAAAATTTATTTACAATAAATTTTTTAAAAAAAATCAAAAATTTCATATATTAATTAATATATAAATAAATTTTATATATTCATTAAATAAAATTAATTAATAAAATTAATTAATAAATTTAATTAATAAAATATTTTTTTATAGCGTGCCAGCAAAAGCGGTTATACGATTAATTTAAATTATCAAAAATATAAATTTAAAAAAAATTAATTTATAGAATTATAATAAAGTAAAATTTTATATTATTATGTATTAAATATAATTAATATGTAGAATATAATAATTAAATGGATTAGATACCCATGTAAATAAATTTTAAAGTATTAAATTTTTAAAATTAAACTAAAAAAATATTTGGCGGTAAAATAGTTAATTAAAGGGGCTTGATTAATTATAGAAAGTACTCATTAAAATAAAATTTATTTATTAATTTATTTATCTCCGTGTAATATTTATATAAATTTAATTTTTATAAATTTAATAATTTTATACAGGTCAAAATTTAATTTAAAATAAATATAATTTAGCCACAAAAAATAAAAAATAATAATTTAAGAATTTAAAAGTAAATTTATTTTTAAAAAAAATTATATTGAAAAAAAAATTTTATGTACATATTGCCCATCACTTTCATTAATTAAATGAAATAAGTTGAAACATAGTAAAAGTATAAGAATATGCTTTTAAAATTTTTAAAATACCTATCCCCGTATATTCAATTTCCAATTGAAAAGAAAAATAAAAATATTTAAAATATACTTCAAATTTACAAAATTTGAACAGTTTAAATTATATTATTATTATTAATAAAAATAAAATTATTACTATAATTACTAAATCTTTCCAAAATAAATTTAATATTTTATCGTATCGATAACGAGGTATAAAGGCTCGAGTTCAAATAAATATAATTGTTAGTGATAATATAATTATAAAATTTAAATTAAAAAAAAAAGTAATTAAAATTATTATAAACAAAAAAAAACCATATTCTACTAAAAAAATAAATCTAAATAAAGATGAAAAATATTCTACGTTAAATCCTGAAACTAATTCTGTTTCACTTTCTAAAAAATCAAAAGGAGTTCGATTTATTTCTCTAAGAACAATTATTATAAATGTTATTAAATATATTAATGAAAAAAGTAAAATTAAATTTTTACTTATATAGTATATAAAAAAATTAAATTCATTTAACAAAAATAAGGGTAAAAGAAATAAAAAAATTATTCCTACTTCATATCTAATAATTTGAATTAATACACGTGTTATTGCTATTATAGAATAAATTCTATTAGAAGAGTAGCTAAGAACTAAAAAAAAAAAAGCTATTAAAGAATAAATTAAAAAAAATATATAAAAATTTAAATAATAATATATTAATGAATTATTTAAAGGAAAAATTATTATAATTAATAAAAATATTATTATTCCAAAAAAAATTATTATTATTCAGTATAACTTTATAATAAAATTTATCTTAAAAATTTTTTTTGTAATTAACTTTAAAAAATCATTTAAAGATTGAAGTACTCTTATAAATAATAGATAATTAGGAGCTTTTCGATTATTTAAAATTCCTAAAAATTTTCGTTCTATTAAAGTAATAAATATAACTGTAATTAAAGATATAAGTATAATTAAAATTTGTATAAAAAATATTTTCAAAAGTGAAATTATTTCACTAAATAAAATTTTAAATTTTATGCAAATTTTGCTTTTTTGAAATAAAAAAGAAATTTCAAAGATTTCAAATATAAAAACTGATAAAGGCTTTCCTTTTATTGATTGCAATTCAATTAATTTTATCAAAATAAATAAATTAAAAAAATTTTTAATTCATTAATTTTTATCAGTACTCCTTTAAATATTAGTTTAATATGAAATTTTGGTTCTATATTAGGATTAAGAATAACTGTTCAAGTTATTTCAGGATTTTTTTTATCTATACATTATAATTCTGATATAGAATTAGCTTTTAATAGCTATATTTTTATAAGAAAAATTTTTTTTAATGGGTTAATTTTACAAATAGTTCATGCCCATTTTTCTTCTATTATCTTTATTATTATATACATTCATATTTTAAAATCTTTAATAAATAAATCTTTTAATAAAATATTTATGTGATTTAGTGGGAATATTATATTATTTATAATTATAGGTTCAGCTTTTTTAGGATATGTTTTACCTTGAGGTCAAATATCTTTTTGGGGAGCTACTGTAATTACTAATATTTTATCTTCAATCCCTTTTGTAGGATTAAAGATTACTAATTGAGTTTGAGGAGGATTTTCAGTAGATAATCCAACTTTAAATCGTTTTTTTTCTTTACACTTTTTATTACCTTTTTTAATTTTAATTATTTCTGTAGTTCATTTAAATATTTTACATGAAAAGGGTTCCTCTAATCAAATAGGAATATATTCTTCTATAGATAAAATTTTTTTTGGTAAAGTTTTTATGTTTAAAGATTTCATTTCTTTGTTTTTATTAATATTATTATATTTTTTTTTTTTTTTTTTTTTTATTGATCATCATTATAGAATAGCAAAAGAAAATTTTTTTCCTGCTGATCCTTTAAATACTCCTATTCATATTAAACCTGAATGATATTTTATATTCGCTTATTCTCTTTTACGTTCTATCCCTAGAAAAATTGGAGGAATTATTAGTTTAATAATTTTATTTGTTTTATTTTTTAGTTTATTTCTTAATAAATCTTTTCATTCTAAATTTTTTTTTCTAAAAAAAATTAAAATTTTATTATTAATTATTTTTTTCATTATTATAACTAATTTAGGGTATAAACTTATTGAATATCCTTTTACTGAATTATCTTTATTCTTTGGGTTAGTATTAATGATAAACATTTTTTTTTTATAAAAGTTTTTAATAAAATTATTTTCAAAATAATTTTTCAACTTTAAGCATTTAAATTAATTTGCAAAATTAATTTTTTCTTAAAATTTTTCTTTTTTTTTTTTTGATAATAATAAATTTTAATCCTATTAATATTTTATTAAATTTTTCTATTATACTTATATTTTTTTTTTTTAATTTAATGTATAATACGAATATAAAATTTATAATTCTATTAATAATTTTATTTTTTGTTGGAGGAATAATAATTTTTATTTCCATGATTTCTTCCACTATAAAATTTAATAATATAACTAAAATAAAAAAAACTATTTTATTATTTATATTTATATATTTTTTCATAAATTTAAATTTTAGATTTGTTAATTTTAACTTGATAATAAATTTTTTTAATAATTTCATAGTTCTTTTTTTTTCTATCATTTTGATCTTATTTATTTATATTTTAAAGTTATTATTATTTAAAAAACAAAAGAATTTAAAAATTTATGTCATATATATTTATATTTATATTTAATAGAAATTTTTTTATTTTTTTTTTTTTTTTCTCACTTTATAAATTAATATCTTTAGTTAGAATAACTATATATATGTATATGATAACTTTTTTTTTAATAAAAGTTATTTTTTTTAGAATGAAAGAAAAAATATTGTTGTATTATTTTGTTATAAAAAAAAATATAATTAAATTAATATTTGTATTTATATTGTTATTTTTTTCTACTATAAATTTAATTTTTTTTTATATTTTTTTTGAAATTATTTCTTTATTGATTTTTTTTCTTGTTTATCTTTCATCTTTTTCTTTAATACGTTTAAAAGCTAGAATTTATATATTTATTTTTATAAGAATTGGAACTTTTCCAATATTAATAATAATTTATTTTATTAATGAAAAAACTTTGTTATTAATTTTTATTTTAAGATTTTCAGTTAAAATTCCTATTGTATTATTTCATTTATGATTACCTAAAGCTCATGTTGAAGCTAATTATTATGACTCAATAATTTTAGCTAGCTTACTTTTGAAGTTAGGAGGTTATGGAATATTAATTTTAGATTTAAATTTTAAAATAAATTTTTTTTTTATATGAGGATTAATAGGGAGAATATTTATTTCTTTCTTAGTTTTATTTGTTTTAGATATAAAAATAATTATAGCTTTTTCTTCTATTATTCATATAAATATTATACTTGTTATATTTTTTAACAGAAATATAATTATAGAAAAAGTTTTTTCTATATTGATATTATCTCATGCTTTAATTTCTTCTATAATATTTTATATAGTTGGTATAATTTATGAACAATCTTTTAGACGAAGAATATTTATTAATAAAAATTTTTTTTTGAATTATAATATTTTTTTTTTTTTTTTTTTTTTTGTTTGTTTTGCTAATATAGGTTCTCCTATTTTTTTAACGTTTTTTTCTGAGATATATATTTATATATTTTTAATTAATTATAATTCTGTTTTTATAAATTTAATAATTTTTATAATTTTATTTTTTTCTTGTTTATTGAATTTATTTATATTAAAAAATATAAGTATAATAATTATAAGAAAATTTTTTAAAATATTTAATTTAAAACTTGCTACTTTAATTATCTTAATAGAACATTTTTTTTACCTATTATTTTTTTTTTAATTGAAATAGTTTATATTAAAATAGTAAATTGTGATTTTACTGAAATACTTCAATAATTTATTTAGTTTTAATATTAAATTTTTTTTTTTTTTTAATTATTAGAGTAATATTGTTTATAATATTTTATTTGTTTATAAATAATATTATTATTATTTTAAATTTTAATGAAATATATCTCTATAGAAATTATAATATTATTATATATATTGATTTTTATTGTTTAATATTTTTATTAACTGTTTTAGTAGTAGTGTTTAATGTTTTAAACTTTATAAATGTTTATATAAATAAAAATTATAATTTTTTTTTGTTTTTTTTTTTTACAATATTGTTTATTAAATCAATAATTTTATTAATTATGTCTATAAATTTATTTTTAATAATTTTTGGTTGAGAATTATTAGGTTTAAGATCATTTTTTTTAATTTTTTTCTACAATAATAATGATAGATGAAAGAGAGCTATTAAGACATTTTTAAATAACAAAATTGGAGATTGTATAATTATTATTTCAATATTAAACTTTATTATTATAAATGATTTTTTAGAAATTAATTGATTATTTTTTTTTTCTTTAATAACAAAAAGTGCTCAATATCCATTTATAGCTTGGCTACCTATAGCAATATCTGCTCCTACTCCTATTTCTGCAATAGTTCATAGATCTACTTTAGTAACAGCAGGGTTGTATATCATATTTCGATATTTTAATTTTTTTTTTAATTTTTTTAATTTTTTTTTTTTTTTAAATTTTTGTTTAATTTCTATGTTTTTTAGTAGATTAAAAGCTATAAATGAAAAAGATATGAAAAAAATAATTGCTTTATCTACTCTCAGCCAAATTGGTTTAATAATATTTATAATATTACTTAATATAAAATTTTTAACTTTTTTTTATTTATGTAATCATGCTTTTTTTAAATCATTAATGTTTATTAATATAGGGATAAAAATAATAATAAACTTTTCTAATCAATTTAATTTTAATTTAAATAATTTTAATTTAATTATAATCTATAATATTTCTTTTAAAATTTCTTGTCTTAATTTAATGAATATCAGTTTTTTTTCTTCTTTTTTTATTAAAGAAATAATAATTAATATACTATATATAAACTTTTTAAATATTTATATTTTCTTTTTCTTTTTTTTATCAAGTTTTTTTACAATAAATTATGCTTTAAAATTAATTTTATTTGGTTTAAGAATTAATTTAAAGATTAAATTTAACTATAATTTTTTTTTTATAAATTACAATTTTTCTTTTTTATTAATAAATTTAATTTCTTTATTTTATATAAAAATAATGTTCAATTTATTTATTTTTGAGATGAAATTTTCTTTAATAATTTTAAATATTTATTTATTTTTATTATTAATAAATTTTTATTTTATGAATTTTTCATATAAAATAATTAAAACATTAATATATCTTGATTTGTTAATTTATATTTTACCTATAAAAATTATGAAAATAGATATATTGATATTTGAGATATGAATAGAAAATATAACTTTAAACTTTTTTTTAAAATTTAAAAATCTTAATTTTTTTAATATAAATTTTAAACTTTTAATTTTATTAGTATTATATATTATAATAATTTCTAAATTTAAGTTATTTAAACTATTTATTTTCAAAATAAAAAAATAAATTTAGAATTTTTTTTATTAATATATATATATATATATTTATAATTTTTATTTCTTTATTCTATAAAAATTTTATTATAATATGATTCTTTATAGAGATAAGAAATATATTTTTTTTTTTTATATTAAATTTTTTAAATAAATTTAAAGAAAATAATATTATTTATTTTATTATTCAAGAAATAAGATCTATTTATTTAATATTTTTTTTTATTTTTAATAAAAATATATTTGTATTTATTTTTTTATTAGTTAAATTAGGAATATTTCCTTTTCATAATTGAATTTTAAAAATTTGTAAAAATTTTTCTTGAAATATTTCTTTCATTTTATTAAATATTCAAAAAATTATTCCTTTAATATTTATGTATTTAATTTTTTCTATAAATTTTATTTTAATCATTTTTTTTAATATAATTATTTTTATTATTAATCTTTTTAATTGTAGAAATTTAAAATATTTTTTTTTCCTTAATTCTTTAATAAGTATGAGTTGATTTATATTAATTATTTTAATTAGAAAAATGTTTTTTTTTATTTATATAATTAGCTATTTAATTTTAAATTTTTTTTCATTTAAAGTTTTAATTAAAAAAAGTTTAATTAATTTTTTATTTAATATAAAATATAACTTTCTTATTTTTTTTTTAATTTTAAATATTATTTCTTTTCCTCCTTCTTTAATATTTTTATATAAAATAAAAATTTTAAGTTTCCTTTTTTTAATAAAATTGAATTTTTTTTTTTTAATAATTTTATTATTATTTTTTATTTATATATATATATCTTTCTTTTTTTTTTTTTTATCTTTTTTTATGAACTTAAAAATAGAAAAAAATTTTTTTTTAAACTTAAATTTTTTATTTTTATTCAATTTTTTTTTTTTTTTCTTGTAAAAAAACCTATAATTTCTTAGGTTTAAGCTATATAAGCTTTTGGGTTCATACCCCATTGAATTTATCCTAAAGAAAATTTTTAAAGCTGCTAACTTTTATAAACATATTTCTTTTCTCTATAAAAACAAAAAAAATTTACAATTTTTAAATTTATAGAATTAAGTAATTCTTTAGTTATTGATAATTAACTTAATTAAATTTACTA